GTTACAACTCCGATATTATACACACACACACACACACACACACACACACACAAGTAATACAATAATATATCGTACTGTACGCGTAATAATACGAAAACGCTGAGCTGCAGGGCCCCGAAAACTCATTATGCACTTGTCGGCGCATGCATTGCCGTTTTGTCCGCGTCCGACCGTAAAGTACAACACACACACACTAATACGGGGCGCGTGGCGTTAATCACGACCAGATTAGTCAAACCAACTTCCGAGTACACGTGTATATATGTGTACGGTATACCTATATAACTATATAACACAGCTTGAATTAAATAATAATTTATATTATTTTGTAATGTACATTGTTGCCCGGACCCGTTCCGCAACAATAGCCGCACCGGTAGTTTATGTTAAGTATATTATGTAATGCAGTATTATACATCTATATTATTATATCGCAGACTTCTACTTGAAGACAAATCGGCTCTACCATTTATTGTGCGGTTGATTGTAGTATATACAACGATTCACACCGACCATTTCAGTCGATATTAATAATATTATGTACCTAGGTACCTAGTTATTTCGCCACTTCAATTTATGTATATTGTATATAGAAAATAAACAACAAAATATCAAAGCGGGTTTGGGATGACGAAATATACCTATTGCATCAAAATTATTCTCAATGAAATATGCGTATTATGATTTATCAACATAATATTTAAGGAATTTACTACCTTGTTATTATCAATATATTAATATATTTCCATTTAGGTATCATATTATATAGTAATATTATATAAAGGTGTTATAAAAATATTAATTTTTAAGTTATTCTGCTTATAAACAACAGATTTGCATACAGATATAGATGTTATTGCTGTGCAAATCGCCAAATCATTTTAAACATTTTTTTTTTTTTTTTTTTTATAATTTTTATTTACAATCTGTTACAATAAAAATATGAACAATAAGTAAAATAGATAATTGAATGAATAAGTGGCTTGAGGAAAGGACGGATTTAAGAAGCCTTCCAGTGAAGACACTTTGTCAGCTGTTTATATACATTTCAATAAGTTAACAATTATTTATAAATAGAAAAAGATTAGGTAATTAACTAAATTAATAGGTCCCGACACCACCGCCTTTTTAGTCTTTTCCTAGGATTGTCGGGTATGTTTGCCGACGCAAGTCCTTTAATTAGGGGATTATCATGGTTTTTAACAGATAAGTTAAATCGTCTATAAAAAGTTCTAGCTACATCACAGACGGGTGAGATGGCAAGATCGTTATGTAAGGTCTGGTTGGACACGTAGAAAGGTGCTTTAGTTATGGCTCGGAGCGTTTTGGATTGGAAGCGTTGGATACGGTTAGTGTTTGAAATTTTTGCAGAGCCCCATAATTGAATTCCGTACGTCCACATTGGTTTAAGATAAAGTTTATATATTAGAAGCTTGGTTGGTAGTTTTATGTGTTTGGAGGTTAGGAGAGAGCGGAGAAGACGAAATCGATTGTTTAAGGATAGCAGTTTGCTGCGAAGATGAGGAGACCATGTGAGGCGTTGATCAATGATTATGCCTAGATAGCGAGTGCTCTATTTTCTATTTTAAACATAATTTTATTTCTTTTTAATATTATTAAAAACTACAATAAATTGTATGAGTCTACGGTCTACCCTAATTTGTTCTGTATAAATATACTCATCGCATCAAATAGTGTTTGTTTGTAGTTTTGTACCGTCAAGTGTTTCATTATCATTAACTAACTCTTACGAATCTATAACCAATTTACGACATCAACTATAAAGTCAAATTTAAAATAAGAAAATATTTTATGTGTATTATTGATACCTAACATAGTAAAAATAAAATTGTATGTATAGGTAAATAAACTTAAATCTTTTACTTTCTAAGCAAAGTGAGTTTTATACTTTTATATATAGGTACAGGACATAGGTGTATATATTATTTTGGTTTTACGACGATGTGCGTGTTTATTTTCTTTTGTAAAATTCTTTCGGGACTGTAAAAAAGACACTTGTTTTAGTTGACTGCATAGTGCAGGTGCACATAGAAAACAAATAGTGTGTGATTTATCATACAGTAGACCACATGAATAAAAATGTTGACATACAATCAATGTTGATTTTAAGCTGTTCAATAGATGTATTATTATTTATTAAATATTATCTTCATAAAAATATTTAGTTATTGTTTTAGCTGTACCTACCTGCTTGAGTAGTGATGAGTACATTATACTATACCTATATACCTAAATACGTGTGTTTTGTGGGACGATCTAATTATTTCAAGGTATATCCCTCCTATTAATGCGACGGATTTTATCTGCAAAGGGTTATAATATGGAAATAATGTGGTTTAAAGGTTTTAAGCATATCTGTACAATATAATAGTAATTATCTAGTAAATGGTAAGTGCATATCCAGATATGCGCTTGATATAGTAAAGGTATACATAATACATACAATGTAGGTAGGTATATCATGTGCACGCACACACATAAACACTAAATACACACACCTATTTAATATATATATGTATACAATCATGAAAATGATGTCGATTCCCGGGTTCGTGACGGACTTATCCGAATAAACACACACCCGCGTAGGGGTCATCAAAATGACAAAATATCGGACATTTACACACACAAGCACTGCGTAATCACGATATTATAATACGTTGCAATTTGTCTATATATATATATATATATATATACACGTGCGTGTGTGTGTGCGGGCTCTCGTAATATTACAGTACAGTTATGTTTAATTATTCATTACGGCTGCGGTGTAGTATACCTATATACACATGAGATATACCACCACGGCACCACCACGTGCTTGGTTGACGCCAGTGCTTTGGGATTTGCGTGACTGTGCACAATGAACAGCGACGAGGCCGCCGTCTAAGTCGAGAGAAAGACAGACGATATGTGGATGACGGCCGATGGGGTGAAAGAGAGAGATATGGAGAGAGCAAATTATTTCCTCGTCATCACGAAGCTTGGCGTAGTGCGCGGCGAATGGACTGGCCACTGGCTGACGACGAAAACGCGAACTCCCGTGCCAGCGCGCGTGTGTAAACACCGGTGGCAGTGGTGGCAAGAGACGCCGGTCATCGCGTATCGCCACTTTGAATTATTTCACCTCGGGGACCCGATAACGTCTATATAACATATATAATGGCTTTTATACGGCCACGTCATTATGTTGATTTCGCCGCCGTTATTCTCTCTATTTCTCTCTCTCACACACACACACACATACATACACACACTCACGCACGCACGAGTGCTCGATTACAATAGTTTTATTTTAATCACACTCGTATATCATAATAATGATAATAATAATAATATACGGTCCGATTCGGTCAAGTTTTGGTTTTATACAATTTTTAGGTGACATATATCAACATATATATATACATAACAATAGTACCTATGTTTGTATACACCAGAATGAGGAGTGATGTATACACACTGCACAGGTATATGAAAAGGTAGTCGTTATAAATTGGAAACAATCCTCCATTATATTTTGTAAAATAATATAAAATTGAATTTGTTTGAAATGCAGTAGACCGATATTGTAAAGAATTTAAGAATTTATTTTCTTATATTGCACTATTATAGCCCATACATATAGGCTATATAGTATATAGGTACATTGTTCTTATTATTTTAAAAAAGTGTAGTAGCATGATACAGACTATTGGTCCCCTAGAACCTCGCCTAGAACGTTACTAATTTTAGGTCACAAATTAATATATCTTCATTTTAACAATCATCAGAAATCAATAATAAAATTAATTTTTTTAATTGTTTTACATAACGTCTACCAATATTAAAATACTATTAAAATGGGCAAATATGGTGATACAAGTGCAGTCTTAAATATAATGACGTGGGTTAAATATACCTATTATACATTTATAACTATATAATATCAAGGGATTTATTTAATAAGAGATTTTAAAATTTTCATAATTTTCAACTTTTTGAAAATGTTCATAAACATTTTCACAACATTTTTAACAACAACATTTTTCTTGAAAATTTACATCACTATACATACACATACAATAGGTACAATATTAAATACTCTTTTCTATTTGAGTTTACTCACTTATTTTTGCGTACGCAGAGTATGGTGAAAATTTTGTGACAATGCAGTTCACTGTAGTTCTACAGTTTCACGTTGCGAAATACCATTTTGTATACGTATGGTGAACTTTATTGTAACAACGTTTTTACCGTACTCCGAGTGAGCAAAAAAAAAAGTTGGTTAACTTAAATGGAATAGAGACATAGACTCTGGAGTAGAACATGTTACACCAAAATCGACATATTATGGTGTGTTTCATGTTTATTTTATGCACATATGTGGCTATGTGGTTGTACCCTACATTATATTGTTATATATTATATAAAATATAAATACATTTTAAATAACTGTTGTATAATAATGGCTTACGTGAAACTATCTTCTTATGATTAATATAATGACTTTTTAGTCTTACCTTGATCCTTGATGGCTGATGTGCTGCCCTCGTAAAACGATCGAGGTGGTTTCGTCGTACAGGAATTTATAAGCCCCGCGAAAATACATAAGGCATAATTCTAGTTTAGCGCCCACTCGAATTTTTCGATTTTTTTGTCGGAAACCTATGTATTTCGACGAGTTTAAAACGATGGTGTAAAAATTAATTTGCGGAAATGATTATTTTGGAAGTTACAGCCTTCCAAAGTTTGCGATTTTACGTTTATACGCATGCGCGCAACACTACTATAAGCGCAGCGACGAGTGCCGCAAGACGTGTTATCACTATACATAGTACATACTATACAACATAACTTACCCTGTTACCTACTTGTGGTGGTGTAAGGTGTTGCATATCAAGTCAAGGGATACTTTTTTTGTTTTTTACACTGAAAACCATATAAGGAGACTGACAAAAAGTAAAACCAATTCTAATATTTTATATTTTATTTTTAAACTAAAAAAAAACTGTTTGGGATTCGTCCTCGGATTCTATCTCAGAGTCGGTGCCAGATTCCGACTCTGCAGACTCAACAACATCGGCTCTCACTCCATCGACAGGGTCGTATACTATGGAACACAACTTAAAAAATTCTGCTAGAGGGTCAACATTTTGCAATCGACACGATTTTAAAAACATATATTTTTCCAAGTACCCTGCGAAGAATCGTTTTTTACGACAGTATTGGCTCATGGATGCTTTAGCATGACGCCACATCCCTTCCACATTATTTGTATGTGCTCCGGTATCAGGGTTCTTAAATTCAATTGAGTGGTTGACGGTGAGGTGTGTGTAACCCTCATCTTTCAAACAATCGTAACTCTAAATTTATCAAACCATAATTAATATCTTAATAATGTAGGTGTAATAGTTTGTAAATTAAAAAATGGATTACATACTTTCCAACAATCACTCATTATCAATGTTCCGGGTAAAATCCAATCTTTAATAATGACCAACAATGTTTCCTTATCTCTCCGCTCGACAGGTATTAGGAAACTTTTACCTGTTTCCCGCTCTACACCACCAAACACCCACTGCCCCTCTACTCGATGACCTCTGTGATATTTCCGCCGACCAAACTTTGACTCATCAATTTCCACAGTCTTCCCTTCACCACCTTTATAATAATTGATTAATAAATAAAAAGAATAAAGTACAATTTAACCATGTACAAATTATGGAAACAAGAATACTTTACCGATTTTTTGATGGCGTAAAATCATCCCATCATATACAACTTCGCGATGAAATGATGCCCAGTCAACTACCGTTTGTGTCGCAATATCAATTTGTTTTTTTATAAATAAAATGGAAACATTCTCCGTCCACAAATGAGAAAAAATTACAATTTTCCATATAGGCAAGTGGGACTTTTCGAAAAACGTATTTTTTCTGAGTGATTGTTTAACATCACACCTCACTTTTCTGTTGGAAACCATCTAACATTTTCTGCATCGCCATACAAAGCCATTGGCATAGTCACGATTTTCCGTTAATATTAAAAAGTGGTTGTTCTTACATTTCAGTGTATTTGGCTTTGCAATGAGGCCCCAAGACTGAAGTTGCTCAATGGCTGCGATGGGCAACGGATCGTTTTCATTGCAGTCAAAAAGTTTAAATAATTTAATAACAGACCACATATTTAGTTCAAAAACAACTTTAAAGCACGTACACTACTGAGTACTGACTGTTTGAAATAGGAATGTACATAATGTTGTATAATATCAACGAACGACACCATACATTTCACATTTTATCTTATTTTATAATTGGGTATAAATCCTAATTTAGACATTTACATTATTTTGTATAATATAGGTAAACGAAACCATACATTTCACATTTTATCTTATTTCATAATTAGATATGAACCCTAATTTAAAAATGTACATAACTTTGTATAATATCAACGAAACCATACATTTCACATTTTATCATATCTTATAATTTTTATTTGTCTGACTGCAGTGTGTTTATGGATTATAATATAAACTGAAAACTTAGATTAGGTAAATTGGTCATTGACATTGGTGCCATAATTTGTAAAACGTTGGATTTATCTAGGTTTTAAAAAAAATTGACATGTTAGGTCATCCGTCTGCCCGAAGGGCAAATATGCTCTCCCCCCCGCGACCCCGAGGGGGTCGCCACCCCTCCCCCTCCCCCCAAGTTTGCTATTTAAGCCCCGGGGGGTTTGGGGGCCGAGCCCCCATCCAGCGAGAGGTCCGTAGGACCTCGAGTTTGGCGACCGGAGCCGGCAGGCGTAGGGAGCTTCTATAGACTTATGTTACTCTAACTGGCGACCGGAGCCGATAGGCGACGGGAGCCAGGTCCCTTGAGTTCAAAAACCAGAGCCACTATACTTGTGATACTTCAACTAACAAGGTTAAAATTACTTGTTAGGTCACCCGTCTGCCCGAAGGGCAGGTATGCTCTCCCCCCTGCGACCCCGAAGGGGTCGCCACCCCTCCCCCTCCCCCCCAGGTTTGCTATTTAAGCCCCGGGGGGTTTGGGGGCCGAGCCCCCATCCAGCGAGAGGTCCGCAGGACCTCGAGTTTGGCGACCGGAGCCGGCAGGCGTAGGGAGCTTCTATCGACTTCTGTTACTCTAATTGGCGACCGGAGCCGATAGGCGAAGGGAGTCACTATATACTTATGCAAACAGGTCAAGGAGTGAAAACACAAATTAACTATGCATACGGACTCGTAACTTTTAATATAAAAATATCGACGTCCTCCGCGGAGCATTATAGTAGTGTTGCGCGCATGCGTATAAACGTAAATTTGCAAACTTTGGAAGGCTGTAACTTCCAAAATAATCATTTCCGCAAACTAATTTTTACACCATCGTTTTAAACTCGTCGAAATACATAGGTTTCCGAAAAAAAAATCGATAAATTCGAGTGGGCGCTAAACTAGAATTGTTCCAATAGTAAATTACTTCACATAAACGCGTATCGACGACCCTACGCAAACGTTTTCATTTACATTGGTTAAATTCATTCGCGACACACCGACGATGGTATTTAAATCATCGATATCAGAAATCATTATACGACTTACACACACGCAAACGCAAACGACGTTACTAAAACGGATGGAACAAGTATCAGATGGCGCGATAAATACGGAGAAAATGGACGCGCCCCGACCGGTGACCGACGGAAAATATTATGGTTGTTACCACGATATAGAAAAGATAGATTATAAAGGCGGGTTTCCACTATACACGGATGAGAGTACGTGCATACAAATCATTTGCTGTGATTGGTTGTTTACGATCAGTTACCACACAGTTAACCATGATACCGTGTTGTTGGACATAGCTGAACATTTTTCGTGTACACGGCAAACGTGTATAGTGGAAACCCGCCTTAATAATAATAATAATTACGGATATTGATTACCTATAGAGTATAGGCTATAATTATACTCTATTCCAAATAAGTCTGGAAAAAATCGAGCATGCAGATCCGCTGTGATTGGCTACAGCTTCGTTAGGTAGCTAACTCGTCGTGAGATACGCCGGCCGGTAGATCACGTGACATACCTGGTCGAAACCGGACGCGCTTTCGTCGTACATTTTTCCAGACTTATTTGGAATAGAGTATAACTAATATGATTATCTTCTTCAGTTTATAACCTCACTGGATTCTGAAATGGCGTGAGTGTGGAGCGTACGGAAAGTAAACAAGTAGCAACACTTCTAAGAATTAATGTGTGTTGAAATAAATTATCAGAATTCAGCGATAAGGTTTAATCAGTTGCAACATTACAGGATATTATGAAATATATTAATATTCTACACTTGGTTAGTATAATATTATTTAGTATTCAATTTTTTTTTTAAAACCTACAATATAGGAAACTTCTCACTGCATTGTGATAACATGAACCGTGATTACAGGTAACAAATAATATTTGGTTTTATAGTAATTTTTAATATGATGGAGACGTGGTTTAAGTTTTGTATAATATAATATTGATGTAATTTATTAAATGGTAAGTGCGGTAAATGGTTATCATATGATATGAGTAGGATTGGGTACTACTTTCTGGTAGGTAAATATCGTACATTGTATATCGTAGGTATATGAAATATACCATGGTAACATTGTAGTATACCACTTACTAGCCACTATGGTGTGCTATATTCTGCCAATCGCAGCTCTGAATTTTTTTACAGAAATCTTAGCGTATGGTTCACGGAGCTATGTGAAGGCTTCGTTAAGTGGGCAACATCTATTAGAAATGCTGACAGTTAGTGCCAGTTAGCGGGTAACCACTAGGTAGGTATATTTTTCGTCAAAATTATTTTTTATAGGAAATTGAACGTCACGGTAGACTTTTTTTCACATCCGATTCTTGTTCTTATAATATTGTATTTTCATCTCGTTCAAGTATGTGTAGTGCGTATACAATATCTGTTATAATATAATACGAGGTGTGTTCAATAAATACCCAGACTAAAATTATTAAAAATTATATTTCAAACTTACAAATTATTTAAATGGATCACCTTCAAAATAGTGTCTTTTAGCATCAATACAATGCGCCCAACGGTCTTGCCACTTTTTGAAACACCTTTGAATTTCCTCTATAGGTATAGCCTTTAGCTCTTGTTTCGCGTTATGAATAGTTTCGTTAACGTCTTCAAATCTGTGGCCTTTGAGGGTACTTTTTAGTCTTGGAAACAAAAAAAAATCACAGGGAGCTAAGTCGGGTGAATATGGTGGATGAGGTACCACTGGTATATTTTTAGATGTCAAAAATTCACGTACGGAAAGTGCAGAATGCGCCGGTGCATTGTCGTGGTGCAAAAACCACGACTTTGATTTCCACGCTTCTGGTCTTTTACGGCGTACTTTCTCTCTTAATCTTTCTAATACTTGTTTATAGAACACTTGATTTATTGTCTGACCTGTAGGTGCAAACTCATAATGAACTAAACCAGAAAAATCAAAAAAAACTATGAGCATTGCTTTGATGTTTGACCGGACCTGACGACATTTTTTTGGACGAGGTGAACTTGCGGTCTTCCATTGCGATGATTGGACCTTGGTTTCGGGATCATATCCATACACCCATGTTTCATCGCCCGTAATTATTGATTTGATAAAATTTGGTTCATTAGAAACCCGATTTTTTAAATCCAAACACACTTCAATGCGATGTTCCATTTGCTCCTCGGTTAACAATTTTGGCACTAATTTTGCGGACACTCTTTTCATACCCAATTCATCTGATAAAATCGAATGACAAGTACCAATTGATATGCCAACTTCATTAGCTACTTCTCTGACAGTTAATCTTCGGTCGGATCTAATTTTGTCTCGAACTAGAGTAATGGTATCATTTGTTTTTGATGTTGATGAACGCCCAGGACGATGGTCATCTTCAATGGATACACGACCTTCTTTAAAACGTTTGAACCAGTCAAAAGTCACACAACGGCTTAGTGCAAAATCTCCAAAAGCCAATTTTATCAATTCAAAAGTTTCCGTAGCATTTCTACCAATTTTGAAACAAAATTTAATACACGCGCGTTGCTCTGAAATATTATCCATCGTGAAATCGCGATTTTATACAAAACGACCAACTTCGAACGCGTATTGTCGATGACTGATTTGAGATAATGATTATTATTATCTACTGAAATAATGGTCATTATCTCTAGTTTATTTTGGTGCAATAACATTTCTGATAACATTAAATGTTTTTCTACAATAATTTTAGTCTGGGTATTTATTGAACACACCTCGTATATTGTGATATTATGTCCTGCAGTGCAGTGTAACGGACATTCCGAAGAAACGATTATTACAATATATTGTTCTCTCTCTCCTCATCATCGTCACTTCCTACTTCCAAGTTCCGGGCCAACAAAACTGCGAAACTAGTCGCCTGTTTTCCGAGGATCGCTTGTCAAGGTAAGACGAACGAATATCATCATTATTAACAGGTTCCCCTGACCCCTGTACTCGGATGTATATCACGTTTGTAGTGATGAATTGCCAAAAAAACTGGGCATAGATAAATGGTTTGAGATGCATTTATACCTACCTTCTTTTTCACGTAGCCTTAGGTGACAACCATGGTAAGAAACATTTGGCATAAATGCAGTTAAGATCTCTAGCGATTTTAGTGGATTTTTTTTCTGAAACCTATGTGATTCAACGAGTTAACAAAAATGGTACAATCAGAATTTATCAGTTATAACTTTT